AACAAAAGGTATTTAAATGGATACAGGGAACTCTAAAAGTTTATTGCTCCTGACGACGGCGTGCTGAAACGCCGAAACGCGCGTCGAGCTTATTTTATTTAATTATTTTCTTTTTGTCCACCTCTTTTTGGTAGCACTTATGGATTTAGTTATTTAATCTTTGTAATTTTTAGGACGTATAGGGATTAGGTATCCGGGTAGGCACTTGTGGCAACACAGTGCCGAGGTAATTAGAGGAAGCCTTGCACTGATAGGGAGTCTGCTTTTTGGGACACTTGGGGTATTTTTTACTCCTCCTATAGAGGGTTTTTTTTCACCTCCTTATACAGGCTCAGTGTACTAGCCATCTCTATACACCTGGATTGGTTACCTATGAGACTTAGGATGCATGTGCTCAACCTTTAGGTTAGAAATTACCAGGCAGTCTCTCTTTGATAGTAGACACCTGTTCTGTGCAATTGTCTCTAGGTGGTTCACCATTTTATATTCCTTTCTCCTATCTGTCCTTTTTAATTTGTGTTTTCCTTTAGGATTATTAAAGGTAGGGACCCCTTCCCCTTAACTATTACTCTCCCACTGAGGACTTACTGTAGTCCTCTTTCTCTCCTCTTTCTTCTTAATCTACCAACAGGTGTTTCAGGGGGAGCTTGGGATTGGTATCTCTTGATACCATCGAGGAAAAGGGACGAAATAACTAAACGGGTAGCAGCTATTATCTTAGATGTAGGTACAATGGGTTCAGGAGCGGGGGCAATCGACTCCAAGGGTTCGTACTCTCTGGAGATAGCATCAGCTTTGACATTACGGTATCCAGACCTATATGTGATAATGAACTGAAAGCATGAAAGAAATAAAGATCATCTGGCCTGACAAGAGGACAACCTTTTAGCATCACGATTCCGGAACCTAACACGCTAACAGATCACAGAGAGGAAGGATGCTATACTGGTCCTTAGAGTGGCCGGGCTAAGCACACTAAGAATAGTCAAGAGACAAGCCAAGTAAAGGGAGCCAGAAAACGGGAGAATGAGAAACAAGCCGAGGTCAAAGGAGTGGAGAATACAGGAAAATCGGAATAACGAGCCAAATAATAAACCAGAGAGCAACACAAGCAAACTGCACTACAGGTATCACAAGACCACAACAGGGCACTGAGAGACAGGAAAGGTAAGTATTTAACAGCGGTGCTTAATTCTGATTGGATAATTTCCAATCAGAATTAATAATCACACGTGGGAGATATCTATACCTCCCACTGTGATTAGGGTACTGTGGCTTTAACGCCGGGTCATGTGAGTGACCCTGGCGTTTACATAAAAGCCGTGACTCCCAGCGTGCAGCGTTACACATGCTGCCGCTGGGAGGCGAGGACGCGAGCGGCTGTGAGGGGAAGCTGCACGCCGCTCACCCACAGGTAAGAGGAGGGGGGACCGTGGGCGGCTATGGACTGAGGGTGAGTGCTGCAAGCGGCACAAGCCTCCCCTCACAGCCGCCCGCAGAACCGTGACAGGGACAGTATGACATTTGCCCCTGCCCCTTGCCTGATAGAGAGTCTGAAAGGTGATAATTAGCGGGGCATGATCTGACCATGTTCTCTGTCCTATCTGTACCTCATCAATATTGGCCAGAGTGGCTTTGTCAACCAGGCAGAGATCGATTCTAGTGTAAGTTCTATGTACTTGCAATAGGTATGTATAATCTTTCTCTTTTGGATATGTTGATCTCCAGGCATCATAGAGATTGGTAGTAAATAGGATTTTGCTAAATTCAGTGCAATTTGAAATGGTGTGTGAGGTAGGTGGCTTGTTGTGTTGATCCGGACTTAGGGATCACACTTGATCCCTAGGTCCGGATCAAGTGTGCAGTTAAAGTCCCTGCATATTATTGTATGGCCTTGTTTTATGGTGTCTATCTGTTTCATGGCTTTGCAAATGAAAGGGATTTGGGCTTCGTTTGGTGCATAGAGTGACACAATTGTAACCTGCATGCTGTTGAGGCTTCCAACTAAAATTAGAAGTCGTCCTGTTGTGTCTGTATGTCTCCTAGTTTCCTGAAACACCCAATCCCTGTGAAAAAGGATGGCAACTCCCATGGACTTGTGAGTTGAGTATGCATGGAATGCCTGGGGGTATTGATTTGAGCGGATTTGGGGAGGCTTGCAAACACAGAAAAGAGTTTCTTGGAGACATATAATAGCAGCCTTTGATTTATGCATAGTTTGGACCGCTAGGTGTCTCTTATGTGGACTATTCAGCCCTTTAACATTTAGGGAATATATTTTAAATGTTGCTCCCGTCATTGTAGATGGGTTGAGTGATTTGGCTATGTAAATTCCACCACCACATCACCCATAGCAGGGTTGAGGTTTTATGTATCCTCTTGGCAGAATATGTGTAACTTAATGTGGGTTTCTGCGTCTCTAGTCGATTGGTGCTCGCATGTCACATACTTTATGCGATTGGGACATAATGTTATTCCTGGCATTTAAGAGTATCATTCAACTTATTAACACAAAATTGAACATATAGGTTAAACTTGGGGGGAGAAACTTAAACAATCCTGCATACAGTGCAGGGGTGAAGTCTGCCTCGTGTGGGAGACTTTCTCCCTCAGAATTCGGGCAGTGGGGGGTGGGGTGAGAGTAACCACCGACATTTAGCTTTTATTAAAAAGTCACTCTATTGAGCCTTCCTAATCTATAGGAGTCTGATTTCCTCCCATAGGAGTGGTTTGTCGTTTGTCAGCCCTTTCACAGCCCACAGAACCATCACGTAGGAGCTAAGTACCTCTGGGTGCTTATGTCACTGTCCTAGCATTTGTCGTTATTAATAGGCGACATTATCACACTGTTGTCGTCCTGTAATGTGTACGCTATCCTGAGATAGTGCGTGTCATATCGTAGCCTTTGGATTTTCATCCATTTTTGGCGATATTGCTAGTGCTATATAGACATTTCAAAAACCGAGCTTGGGTGTCGCGTGAGAGTTTACCATCTTTCAGACAGTTACATATTGTTTGGTAGACCTGTTACATTAACTCTATGTAAAGCGTGAGTACTAGCTGACTGTGTCATGTGATTAATTTATAGTTAGCGTTCGTGTCCACATGCGGTTACGTGCCGCGCAATACAGCATTAGGAGCATTTAAACATTTGAGTAATTATTTACTATTTGCCCTTATTGCCAGTGATGTGTATCAGGTATCTAAGCTATGGTTGGCTTCGTGTTCACAAGCGATTGCGTGCATTATAATACAACATTTAGAGCATTTAATTCACAGTGGATTCACAGTGGAATGCATAGATTCGAAACTATGCGTTCCAGTGACATCACAGGAGCGTCCCACAGATCGAAACCGGAAGTGACGCACACGATGGTGCCAGCGCAAGGTCAGACCGGAAGTGACATGCAGGAAACCGGCAGTGGAACGCAAGATGCTATTTTTATGAGAGGGGCTGTAAGGCCGTTAGATATTTTTTGAAGAAATTGGGAGATTTTAATGAACCACAGGTCGATTTTATCTTAAAAGGTATAGAGATCATATTAAAAAATAATGTTTTTTGGTATGAAGAACAGTTCTATTTACAGATTCAAGGAACCGCTATGGGGACCAAGTTTGCCCCTAGTTATGCTAATTTATTCATGTCCCACTGGGAAGAAACATTTGTTCTCCCCAGTGTAGATTTAGGGGCAAACTTGGTCCTTTATAAGCGGTACATAGACGATATTTTTATTATATGGAGAGGAGATAGAGACTCTTTGGTTAAGTTTTTAGAGTTTTTAAATTCCAATGATTGGAATATTAAACTCACCTCCAATATAAGCAATCAAAATATCACCTTTTTAGACCTAGATATTTTTATAGAATCAGACCAAATTAAAAGTAAAACTCATTTTAAGAAGGTAGATGTAAATAGTTTTATAGACTTACAAAGTTGTCATTTTAAACCTTGGCTTAGTAACGTACCAAAAGGCCAGTTCCTCCGATTAAGGAGGAATTTTACGGATTTTAAAGATTATCAAGATCAATCATGTAATTTGTCACAGCAATTTGTAGATAAAGGTTACGATCTAACTTTAATTAAAAATATTAGAGACGAAATAGGAGAAAGAGATAGGAATTTACTTCTGGAATATAAAGATAAAGAAAGAAAGAAGGAGGAACAGATTCCTTTGATCCTCAATTTTTGTACTAATAACAGATCTTTATGCAATGTTTTTAAAAAGAACTGGCATGTATTAAAGGAGGATAAAGAACTTTTACCCTATTTAGGAGATAGACCCCAATTTATTTTTAGAGGAGCACGAAATTTTAGACAAATTTTAACTAAAAGTTTTTTGGAGAAAAAAGTAAAAAAGGATATAAATAATTTTTTAGGTGGACAAATAGTCTTTTATCATTGTGGAGATTGCACTGGATGCAGATTAAATAAGATTATAAGGAGGAATATTAAGACTTTTTCTTCGAATAACAATCCAGTGGATGAATATAAAATACATTCATTAATTACGTGCAATACAACCAATGTTATATACCTCTTAACTTGTCCATGCGGTTATCATTATGTGGGTAAAACGATAAGAAAACTGAAAGTCAGAATAGGAGAACATATTAATAATATAAAGAAAAAATTTATTAATCATAGCGTTTCAAAGCACTTTTTAGACCACCATAATGGTAACCCAGAGGGACTTCAATTCATAGGCATAGAAAAAATTAAAGTCCATTGGAGAGGGGGTTGTAAAGATAATATTTTAAGCAAAGCAGAAATGAGGTGGATGTTCAACCTCAATACCCTGACTCCTGATGGTTTGAATGTGGATTTTGAAATTACTCCCTTTTTATAATATATTTTTTAGATGTATTATAATTATATTATGTATTTTAATCTACTATTATTTTATCTCCCCCTTTTTCTCTCCTCATATATATATCCCTGTATTGTTAATGAGCTCTATTTTATCTTTTTAGAGATATTATTTTTTATACTATTTTTAATAGTGTATATATGATAAATTGATAGAGTGATTATTTTTATATTTGTGTATTTATTTACTCTTATTTTAAATATATGCTCGATGGATATATGTATGGACATATTAATCAAAGACATCTGGAGTAAATATTGATTTTATTCAAGATCGGGACTTTATTGAAATGTAAGGGAGTTATGATTTTTGCCCGAAAGTATCCCGTGATAGGCCACATGACCGGAAGCCGGAAATAATGACTGAGATTGAAGACGTACTGGAACGCAAGAGAAACACTGTCCGCTGACCCGGAAGTGTTTGAAGAGACGCAACGCAACGTGACCGGAAGTTGGAGGTCGGACAGCCGAAATCCGGAAGTGAACCGGAAAAGAAATCACAGTGCGCCTTTTTGTAACTATATTTAAATGTTTAATTTGTTTGACATTGTTAGCACTTTGATAAAGACCGCTTAGGTTGAAACGCGTTAGTGCAATAATTTGAGAGATTCCATTTTATATGCGATTGTTGGCGAATAAAATTTGTTCCTGCATTTCCTGACTCGACTTTCCATTCAGTCACAAAAGGGAATTTTCACAGTGATTTGCCTTTCCAGCATTGTGGTCTCCATAATTTTTACAAGGCGCTTATAGTCTGAGCCACTGAACGGCTCAGTACCACGTGAGTGGACAATTTTACACTTAATTATTTTCTGTATATTTTATACAGGCTATACTATGTTCCTTATTTTCTATTTTTAGGACATTACAGCCATATGGTAATATTGCCTGCTTTTATATCTATCTTATCTGGTGTATAGAGTTTGCTCTCACTATATTATTATTGTATTGAATGATTTGCTATTTGCCTTTTATAATAGTTCTACGTAAAACGGTGATGTTAGCTGGCGATATCAGGTGGCTATGATTAGCTTTGTGTTCCCATGCGGTTATGTGCATCATGATGCAACCTTTATAGCATTTAAGACCTTTAAGCAATTATTTGTTATTAGCGCTTATTGCCAGTAACACGTATCAATTTATACTACTATCTCTAACGCACATGGTTAAGCCAGATGTAACAGGATTCAAACATTTATGGGTGATACTTAAGTGGTTCTAGTGGTTCCGGAGAGCTGTGTTAGGCCTATGCGTTCAGTCCTCGGTGTGCGCGTTCGGCTTCAGAGGGGAGCCTATCATGGACCATTCAGCTCTCATCTTTTTCAGCTGTGTTTTCTGAGGGGAGTCGTGACCCATGGTGTGGTGTAGTCCCCATTCCTTAAGTTTCGCCATGCCAACTTCTGGTTCCAGGATCGCTTCTGTTCTGCCTCTGTACCATATCAGCAGTTTGGTTGCATATCCCCATCTGTATGGTACTTGATGGTTACGTAGAGTCTTAGTGACGTTTATAAACTCTCTTCTTTTTGCCATGGTTGTTGCTGATAGATCAGCGTATATACTGATTCCCTGATACGGGTCTGGTAGTTGGTCGATTTTCCTTGTTGAGGTTAGAATTGTCTCCTTTGATTTGTAGTAGTGAAAGCGGGCTATCACGTCTTTTTGCGTGTCACCATAAATCTGGACGGTCTGGGGAGCCTATGCACTCTATCCAATGTCCAGGCTGCGGCCTCAAGCTGCGGTGCTAAAGTGGCACACATGGTTAGTAGGTATTGTAGGAGGGCTTCCGTGGAAATCGTGTCCGGTATGACCCAGAATCGGAGGTTGTTTCTCCGTGCCCTGTCTTCCATGTCAGCTACTTTTAATTTCATATTTGCCTGTTCTTCTTCTATTTTTTGCAGCTGGTCTACTACGTCATTATGGGCTGAGCAGAGTTCCTCCATTTTGTTTTCCAATCGGTTTGTGCGGTCTCCTAATTCCTGTATATCCCCTCAGTTTTCCTTGGTGATTTGTCTGAAATCTGTCCTTAGAGATTCCTTTAATGCTTGTAGCATAACATGCAGGCTGTGGTTGGAAACAGGGGCTTCACCTTGGGGCATTTGAGTGGTTTCTCCGTCCGTTATATTATCTGTGTCTGGTGAGTGTGCGTCCGGTTCGGTGTCATCTTGTTTTTGCTGCGGACGCTCTTTCTTGTTAGGACGGATCTGATCCGTTATTTTAAGTTGTTTTGACGGCACCATGGGTGTCAAAGAGGATGTAGCTCCTGGTAAGTATGCTTTTCTTTGCGGTTACGGCTCGATTTATGTTGCTATGGGCTTGGTGGTTGCGGAGCTCTCTTCCCGTGCGACTACTCCATGCGGTCGCTGGCCACGCCCCTAGGTCTCTGAGTTTTAATTTAATTTAATTTACTTACTAAACCTTCTGTTTTATGTTTGAGACAAGCTTTAGTTCACTATCTACGGCATTAGGGAGGTTCCCATCAATATAGGAATATATACACTGTGACTGTATCAGCAGGTGGGCGATCTGTGTTTACTCTAAGTTGCTTAAACTAGCCCTATAAGATATCTGCAAGATAGTCTAATTTAGAGTGCAGTGTTAGTCAACTACAGATTGAACTCTCTCTATCTAATACTAAGATGTGAACTTATTGCCTCTCTAACTGAATCGTATCTGCTTCTAACGACTAACCCCACCCTGCTAAGATTATTACTTTTCCTATAGTCTACTCTTGTGCAGACTGGATATTCAAATATATCTCTTTACATTGGGACTAGCTTATGAGCGTTCCTCCTATTAACTGTATCCAAGTAGTTTACTTTAAACTTGGTCTTTATCAGTTACAAATGAGATACAATACATACCAGATCCTGACATGAGATTGTACACTGTCGTTTGGAGGGTGTAGATAAATTTCTCTCACACTAAGCTATTATACAACTGCAAATACACACTACGTATAAACCATTTTCTTTAAAGATTTAATCAGGCATCTGTCTATATGGAGAGTGTTTCTTCAATTCATATGTTTTGATCCCTGAAACGTACTATTACTGGTATATCGGTGTAGCAGTTTAATCTACCTTACCTAGATTTTAAAGGTGTATTTTCACTTTGTTTTTTCACTCTTTGTTTTCACTGCTATCACAGCCACTATTTTTGTTTGTATGTCTATTCGGCTTAAATAAAGGTTATACCATTTATATATGAAGTTTTAATTTTGAAGGGATATCCTTTGGTGGAGTGAATATCCACCCGTAAGTTTTCTGGCGAGGTGGTCACTCCACTGTAGCTCTTTATTTTTGTTATAATTGTAATTCAGGGTTCACACTCGTGGATATCTCCGTAACCTTAAAGGGATATCAGTGCGGACTCTGTCCAGCACCGTAATCCCTTTCATCTTTTTCTCTAAATCATGTAAACTAACACAACTTTATTCAGTAAAAATAGATGTTTGTGTTGGAAAATGGCCGAGGCTAGGCAAAAAAATACCATGGTCCCAAAAAGAAGGATTTTCTTTCCTTCAAAGACAAAAAAAAAACCAAACAACTTTAAATTGGTAAAATAGTCTCACACTAGGATGAATAACAAAATGCCTACCAGGGGATAATCTTCTATCTCTTCAAGATACATAATAAAGCAAAAGGTAAAATCACACTGGGATCAATTACTCATGCTAGGCAAAAGGATTTAACCCTTGACACCACAGTCCACAAAGGAAGGATTTTTTTTCCGCCAGGCATACCTCCAAACAGTTAATAAAAAAAAAAAAAATGTAATTTAAAAAAAACTTTTGTTTTAGGACAGTTCTTTTTTTTTTAGTGTGTTTTTTTTTTTTTTGCATGGTCCTGTTTATGAGTAGATTTACAGACAATAGTTTGTTTTGGCCCCGAATGTATATGTTTAATGCTATCAAATCCCCTCTGAGGTACCATTTTTCAAAACTAAACAGGTTAAATGTAATAACCTTTCTTCATAACTAAAATGTTCCATTCCTTTTTATTAATTTTGTTGCCTGTCTCTGCACTTTTTCTGTGCCATAATATTCTTCTTTAGAACAGGTGTCCAAAATTGGACAGCATTTGCAAGGTGTGGTCTTACCAGTGATTTAAAAAGAGGCAAAATGATATTGTCATCCTGAGAATTAATGCCCATGACAATGCCCTACTGGCCTAAGCCACTGCTGATTGACATTGCACATTGTTGATTAGTTTGCAGTCTATAACAATTCCCAAATCAATCTAGTGTGTTGTTATCCTTAATTCACTACCATTTAGGGTGCACATCGCTTGTGCATTCTTTACCCTGAAGTGCATAACATTGCGTTTACCTACCTACAATGTCATCCACAATTTGAGTGCCCAATCCCCCAATTTATGTAAATCCCTCTGCAGCAAAGTAATATCTTGCTCACATTGTATTGCTTTAAAGAGTTTTGTGTTGTCTTCAGTCAGAACAGTCTAGAACATGACTTTCAATGCTTTATTTCAAGATCATTTATAAATATGGTAAATAGAAGCAGTCAGTCCCAGAACAGAACCCTGAGGGACACCACGTACCACTTTTGTCCAGCTTGAAAATATACCATTAATGACAACTATCTGTACTCTATTTTTAAGCCAATGTTGTACCCAAGGAGAATACATTTCATTCTTTTAGTTTGAACTATTTAAAATTAAATTTCAATAGTTGCTGCACCTTGTCTTGAGTCATCCAATCACACTTTTTCTGCACATTTTTTGCAGCAAACATTTGCATATCTCTGGCCCTAGGTTCTTCCTATACAGTGTGGAGAAATAGTTATTTCCTTTCCCTTGTCTTCATTAATGTTGGAATGTTATTTTCATGCTTGATTTTTTACATGCTAGTGAATAAGCCCCTTGACTAACAAGCTAAGTTCTGTTCATTGTAGACAGGGTGTTGGCTATACATTCCTATACATTGGTATCCTTTCTTTTTATGGCAATGACCATCTGTTAGTATTTTATTTACCCTTCCCCCCATATCCTGTAGGCTGCAAAAATGTGTGTGTCTTTCCACCATCCCTCCATCCCCACTCTCCCCTATTTCCTTTAAGCACCTTTGAGAAATGTGTTAGTACCCTATTGGATGATCCAAAAGGGGGCATGTATAATTCTCATTTCATATACTATTGTATCCTACCATTGAAATGTAGTCTTATTGAACCTGCAACTTGTGTGTCGTTCAATTGGGCTTCCCAGTACTGCAAAGGTACAGACGAAACCAGCGATTGATAAATTAATAGAAGTCCATGGCAAACAAGCACTTTTAAAGAATTCTTAGCCAACCTAACAATTAACTAACACCTATTAAAACTTAAAGGGACACTCTAAACACCTAATGGAGTATATTTTATTGCAGTGATTTTTATGTGCAAAGACCATGTCTCTCCTGTACTTGATAATTGTGAACATTGCTATCTGTGAAATATAACAATGTTTAAATTTGTCAGTTATAATGCCTCAGTTAGACAACCACTAGAGGCACTTCTTTGTGAAGACCTAATTTATTGAAAGTCTTCATGTTCAGTATTGCCAAATGCTATTAATATCTGGTTAGTTGAGTGTGGCAATTGTCAAGAAGCTGCTTTAGGTCTCTTATGCTTCTCTATGTATGGATTAGTCAAAGATCATTCTTTAAAATAATCTCAAAACAGGCAAACGTGGGACCATGCTAGGTCAAACATGTATTTTATTTTTTTTATTTTGAAAATTATCGCCAAATTATCTTAATAAGCACAGGGACATGTTAACATTACAAATACATATATTTATTATTCATTTATTTATTATAAGGTTAATGTGTCCCTTTAAAGCACTGAATGCTATAAACAGTTTTCCACTGAGCACTGAAAATTAAGCATGATGGAAATGCAACATGTTATTGAGGCCACAAATTATCAATTACATTAAGGATCTGTTGGAGGTCAGAGAAATGTGCAATGCAAGACTATAAAATTTGTTAAAGAAGCAGAAAAGAAGAGATTGCATCACCTTATTTTGTTTATTAGTAAATCCTCATAGAAAAAGGCAATTTGAAATAGAAAAAGTCTAAAAAATAAGAACCTTTTGTCAGGAACATGGTAGTTCTTCAGTGAAGCTTTGGTTAACAGGGTTGTGCTGCAGACATCTCCATAATGGCATTAAGTATTACCTAATTTAACATATTTAAGATACATGTATAAAGACAGAATATGATGGCAGCAGTTTTGTGGTGGGGAATATTCAGGGACCTCAAGAGGATTTGTTTATAAATTATTGCCAACAGAAGGGGTTTTGCACCTGTACTATGTTTTAAGCAAATTTTAAGGTGTTCAGTCCCTGCTTAGATATTAATACCTATACACTTTTGTATGGAAGAGGATAAGACAAGAGTAAATAATGTGTTTCCTTGAATTATAAAATTCCAAAGCTGCAACCAGGCCCATCACTCCAGGGGGCCCGACATGTGTTGAGCCTTGGCCATGGCCATGCGGTATAACCTCTGGGGCCACATGTTAAGGGGCCCATTGAGTGACCCATGCTCTTAGGGCCACCCCATGGCAATGAATTTCCAGGGGGCCCGGTCAACACTGTGGCGCTTTGACAATGTGATCGGGCAAGCTGTGATGAGATCAGTTCTGGGAGCCGGGCAGGAGGAAGAGAGGAGGGAGTCAGAGTGGGAACTCTGACTCCCATCAGGCTGAGCCACCACTGGGCCACAGGGAAGTCACCTCCCTGCATGTAAAAGGTAGGAAACAGGAGGGTGACTTTAACATTTTGCAAGTGTGTGTGTGTTAGTGTATGTGTGCCTGTATGTATCTGTCTGTCTGTATGTGGGTCTCTGTGTATGTGTCTCTGTGTATGTGTGTGTGTTTGTCTGTATGTGTGTCTGTATGTATGTATGTGTGTGTGTCTGTGTGTATGAGTTTGTGTTTGTTTGTATGTATGAGTGTGTATGTATGTATGTGTTTCTACATGTCTGTGTGTATGTATGTGTGTCTGTATGTATGGGTCTCTGTGTGTATGTGTGGGTGTTTGTATGTGTGTGTATGTGTGTCTGTATGTATGTGTGTGTTTGTGTGTTTGCATGTTTGTGTGTATGTATGTATGTATGTGTCTGTGTATGTTTACATGACAGCATGTGTGTGTCTATGTGTGTGTCTGCATGTGTGGGGGGCGGGGATATATGGGGGGTAGATGTATGGCAGGGCATCTGGTGGTTACATTGTATTGTTTGC